CAATGATGATGCCGGTGTGGGCCAGGAAATCCCGTCCCAGAATGATGGGTACTGTCAGCCCGGCCAAATGGACGAACCGCTGTCTCTGCGCCCGTTGATTCCAACGTACCACGAGACGCACTGCTCCCCTCGAGGTCGTCGACCCACAAGCCAACTGGAAAGTGGTCTCCCCATGCCTCACCCGAACGGACTTCTGTTGGAGATGCCTGAGGACCTCGTCCCCAATTAGCGACGCACTAGCCCCGCTATCCAGAAGAGCTGCGAACTCCTTTCCCGCCACCGTCAGGGAAATAAATGGGGCCGCGGTGCTTGTCACTGTTCCGACTCGATACGCCGTCGGCACGCATACAGTCGATGGGGTGTCGGGGACCCGCTCATTGGTCTGTTTCGCCGCCGATAACTTTATCGGCGGCCTCCTCCGTTTCCCGGTATCTCCCTTGTGCAGTCGCGCCTATAGTGCCCGATTTCGTGGCACCGAAAGCAGCGGCCTCGCCAACCTGGGATAGGACTCTCCCCAGTGGGACGTGCGATGCGCTCACCCCTTTGTGGCAGCGGGTCGGCGGCAGACTGCTCCTGGGCTGCGGCGATCCGTGGTGCGCCGGTCGGCCGGAATTCCGCCGCGTGGACGGCCGCGCTCCCTCCTCGGCGTGATCCTGGCTCCAAGGCGTCATCTGTGAGCTCCCAGGGATTCCCGCTCGGCTCCCCGCTGGCCGCCGCCATTGCGGCTTCCCCCCGTCGACACCCACGTGGCACCGGCCCGTGCCACGCGCATCGGGGTTCGAGCGTGTCGATTGGTGCTGGGGGAAGGTGGTACCTGCGCTCCGCCAGTATGTCTGCCTGAACCTTGCGTGCCTCCTGTGCGAGCTCACTCAGACTTCCGAATGGGCGCCCACGCAGATACCGCGAAAAGGTGGGATGCGCCTGCCTCACCACCCGCTCGACCTGCTCCTGGTTCGTAGCATTCGGATCGGCGATCTGCAGGAGTTCCTGCATTGCCCGCAGGTATTCAGCAAAGGGCTCAGCGGGAGCCTGCGTTCTTTCCTCCAGTTCCCTGCGCATTCTTGGCAGGTAGTCTGCCGGCAAGAACTCTTGCCGGAAGAGGGCCGTGAACTCGTCGAGTGTTCCGGCTGACTCGCCCACAAGGCGATGCCACCTGGCTGCTGGGCCTACAAGAGCCACCGGCAGAACCCTGCCTAGCGTCTCCGTCTCGGTCAGGCCGGTAGCCTTCCGATATCGCTGGATTTCCAGCAAGAAGTCGGTCGCGCTCAGAGCTCGATCGCTGTGTCCGCTGTACTCCGGCACCGGAATGCGGATGAGGGTTTTCGGCGGTGGCGTTTGCCTCTGCATGCTCTGTAAGGCCTGAGCGAACGCCGCAACCAATGCCGTGGATTCACGGGACATCTCCGTGCTTTGCGGCATAGACACTACTGGCGATACCGCCGGCGTTTCCGGACTCCGCACTACGGTCATCTCCGCGGCGTTCCCCTCCGCCAACCCCGAGAGCCGTCGCTCTTTTTCCGCTTGTGTCGTCGCGACGTCAGCCAAAAACATTAAATCCGTTAGCGCGAAATTACCCGCGGCCATCCCGAACACTTGTTTGGACGTGCCTTTTCCAACTTCAAAGTGCCGCGGTATAGACCCGCCAACCAGGGGGACCGCCCCGCGTGAACTTTCACGCAGTGTCGTCGACGGACGTTGCGACCGTAATTACGGCTCGCCTGCCCCAACGTTGATGCGCCATTTGTAGGAAATCGCGTACCGACGCCGATTCGCCGTTTCCCACGTGGTCCGTCAACAACCCGAGTCCAGCCTGGTTCTTTCACGGGAGCGGGATTCCGCTCCCAGTTTATTCGTACGACAAAACACAACGCTACAAAACACTCAATCTAAAATACAAATACAAGTTACATTATACAAATATTTACAACCGCGCGTTAAGCCCAACGCTAAACACAAAGAAGGCCTTAGGCCTCGCGTCCCGCGATATCCTAGATCCGGTCGCCACCCACTTGCCTGCCTGCGTCTCGGTCTCGTCCGGAGTTCTTAGAGGCCTCTCGCCCCCTGCCCCACCGAGTATATACCATCGATGAGCGAGGAGGTTTCTCCTCGCCTGCCACGGGGGCGCCTGCAGCGCCCTCCAGTGGCTAGGAGAGAAAGCGGCGCGTCGGGAGCCGAATTCGAGATCCCGATCGACCCCGCGGCAACACGACCATGTGATCGTGTCGCGGCCAAGATTGGCCGAGTGGTTTGATGGGCGTCCTCGTGAATTCACGGTGCGCCATACTATGCACTGTACCACTGTACTACCAAATGAAGTTTGCCAAAATGGACTGTTTTTGTGAATTTTCACGTGAGCATTCCAAAAAAGTTCAGGTCATGTTACAATGCAATTTAGCGTAGCTTTTTTGACTATAATGGCAAACACCTGTAAAAGGTTTCAAATAAAATGATAAAAAATAAAATAAAATAAAAGTGTCCTCCTTTAAAGAAAACTCCAATTCAATTCTGTGCCAGTTGATACGGTGAAAAACCATAAAATATTAGGCATTGCATTTTCAGAAAACCGTATTGATCTTATTATCAATCAGTTATGCTTTATCGGCAATGTTGTTTATTTATTCTATGCAAAATAAGATTTAATCATTATTCGCTCTATGGATGACTGCACATACAGAGCTTATATTTGATTTCCTCTGCACAAGCCTACTGACCATTAGCATGTGTGCCGCATATGAAACATTAGGGAAATGTACGAGATGAGTTTATTTATTCCTGAAAAATGTTTTCTGTCGTGGACTGCGTGGACGGCACATGACACCTGGAAACAAAATCAAGTTTGTTCATCGAGCAAAAAAGTTGTCTTTTGTGAGCCCCGGTGCTCTGCAGAAAAACAGCACCCGTGGAAGCGAGCTCCGCGGGTGTTGTTTCTTCCCAGTGCACTGGCGCTGTGTAGGAAGCACGGTCGACAAGGCCGCGAGAACAAAAAGTATAAATTGCACGAAAATGTCGTTCGAAATAAGTGGGACGACCAAAAATTTGAAATTTGTTTGAATTCACCATAAGTAGGAAATATCGAAGGTTTAACAGGTGAGCCTACTGTATTTTTTATTTTGTGTTGGTTTCGAGAAGTAGAGATGTTATAGGGAAATTGAATGCGGTGGAAGTTTCTGAAACCCTCTAACATGATGCGTAGCAACTGAAAACTGCCAAAGAGGGACTTCATTTAATGTGAGTAGGGTTGGGCAAATATTTGAAATTTCGAATAGTAGTTTGGAATAATAATTATATACAAAATATTCGATATTTGCTTCGAGAAGAACTGCGCTATTCGCGTTTTTCGAAATGTTGATTCCGGCGGGTTAGCCCCGTCGAGTGCGCTTCTTGCCGAGCACCGGTGCACTGCGGAGAAGCAATACCCGCGGAAGCGAGCTCCGCGGGTGTTGCTTCTCTGCATTACATCGGTGCTCGGTAAGAAGCGCACTCAACGGGATAACCCGCCGCTATAAACGCCTGGAAAAGTATGAATATTGCGATTGCGTGCTTGGAAGGAAAGCATACATTCAAAGTGGGATGGTGCACCCGTGCCAACTGTATTTGAAAATAAATGGAAACTTCGTGAATGTGTATATCTATATTCCTAACGAGCGTGTTGGTAAGATGTAGTAGATAACAGAAAGTATAAAACAGAGGACGAAACACAGACGAGAACATTTTTTCATTTTGAAAGAATGTACTCGTCTGTCTTTCGTCCTCTGTTTTATACTTTGTTATCTACATTGTATATCTACATTGTAGTAAAAGTTTCCAAATTAAACTGACTCTTGTGCAACAGCATACTATGTTAGGCAGAGGTGCCCTTACAACCTGCGTTCATCATGCATGGTTCATTCTTTCTTGACTCGTGATTAAAGAGAATATTTGATATAGCAAGATTTGTAAATTCAATCAATTGAGTATAGTTGGCCATTTCTATAGGATTCATTTTATGTGAAATCCATTGGTCATAAATATAGATAGATTTAACTTGGCTTATAAATGAACAAGTGGAACAACCTTCACAAGTTTAGCTGGGTTTTCGTCTAAGCGTTATGCAATGGTAGGGAATGGCGGAAAAAAACTATTTGATATTCAAATCGAAAATATTCAGGCAAAACCACTATTCGCTTTGAATTTGCTTCAAACTCAAAATCCACTATTTGCAGAAGACTAAACGTCAGTAGTGTTTCAAAACGCTTGTTTTGAGGTTATCGTTAGCAGACGACGGGGAAGACGCCTCCTCGTCGTTGCGCCGTTGTCGTCGGTGATCTCCTCTCTTCCCTCTTTGCCCGGCGTGGCCAATGGGAACGCACAACTTTTCTCTCCTTGGCCATGAGGGGAAAGAAGGTTTTTTTTGTCTCCACTACTGCCGACACCGAAATCCTTGCAAAGTGTCGTCTGTAAGGCACTTTAAAAATGCTATCGGTGCAGTGGCATGTCACCGTGATCTAGGGGTGGCTCATTCAGTGTGGGCTCGAAATTCCTGTAGCGCTTGTTGCCAGATTCCCAGCAGCGCTGGTTAGATTGGCGGTGCCCCCTTGTTGACACCAGCGCCACGCGTGGTTGTGTACCAAGCTGTCCCATAGGATCAGTGGGAAGGTCTGAGACTGGCAGGATATTGAAGGACTGGTGTTGCTTACATTAATAGTGATACCGCGATAGCATAGAGCAGCGATTCTCCAATGAGGGTCTGCGTCGGACCGCTTGGGGTCTGAAGGCCCCTTTTGTGTCCCTGAAGCCATCACCTGTCAATCAAACTGAGCAATCAAACTTTTTTTTCTCGAGGCTGGTTGTCCTAGGAAGCTAGATGGATTAAACTATGTGAGATTGATTTTTCCCCACTTGAGAGCTTCAAAGGGGCTTGAAAGTTGACTTTTGTCATTGTAATCACCTAGTAACCGCCATCACTTGTACTGATCTAGAAACCTACTCTGTGAAACCACTCCCTCTCTGCCCGCCTTTAGAGAGTCCGTGGATGCAACACCACCTTCGTCGCCACCTGCAGGCCGGAGGGCGAGGGAAAACGTGTTCTCGAGGTTGACCAGCACCGGCACAGCCCCACTAGCCAAGCCAGACAGGTAACGTTATCAACAAATATCCTTGCCCAGCAGCGGAGCATCTGCCCTGCAGTCACTCTCTAGCTTTCACCTAGCACTTTGTGTCTGCTTTTACCTTCTACGACCAGGCATGACATGCCGGCCCCTGGGACATAGTAATGCGGGATGGGTTGAGGTGCCAGGGCTGGCTTTTTTACTTTCTACGACCAGGCAGCACAATGGTGATGGCATCACATGCCGGCTCCTCTGACATAGTCATTTGTTGTCGGGATGGATGCATGGTTAAGGCGCCGAGCACCCCAGTCCAAGTCATGCTTACCGCAACTTGAGCGACTATTCAAGCTTTGCTGTGTCGCAGGCCAGTGAGCCCAGGCAGTTCTGAGCCCACTTTAGGAGCCCCAGTTCCAGCCTGTGATGAGCTCGTGAAGCTTCAGTCAAAGTTTGGGCTTGGCCAATGAAACAGAAATATATCTGCGATATCCCTCGAGTGTTCCTGTAGGGGCTGATATGCCGTACACAAGATGTCTCTGTCTTGCTCTCGTTATTTTTGCAACGTTCAACTCCAGATGTTGTTTATTATGTGCTATTCATATCACAATGACCGATTTACCTTCTGTACAAAAGAAAGTGCTAGTTACTGACATGTTTAGGTGGCAACTTCATTATAGTAATTGCTAGTGTGACAGACTAGGCTAAAGGCAATCTAAGATGTCAGTAGCCTTGGAATGATAGCTGAATATTTGGCTGAGAGGCTTCTTCAGCTTCACCTCTAAAGAAGCTATCAATAAAATGTCTATTCATTCTGAAACTTCCAGCTTTTTCTCGTCAAGCTTTTCCTTGTAGCAACTTTCATGCTTAGTTTTAAAACAAATCTGGAAGGTTGAGTTGCAATGCCTGTTTCGAGGCCTCAGTTCCTTCATAACTTTGTCTTCTGTTTGCGAGCCACCTCCCTCGAGTTGTTTGTTTCTAGCATTGTTTTCAGGAACTTTTTCTGGTGAGCCTCGCTAATGCCAAGGTTGGGTTCCCGCTCTAACAGCACGTACAATTTCTTTCCCATTGGGAATAGATATCGGTTGTGAGACAGCAGCCTCTCTTTGGTCCCCGTTGTTTTTACTATGCCTTCTGTTTGCCGACTTGCCGAGGAGTGTTGTTGCTGATGCTCTGGTTCCAACAGGGGTGTGATCAGCGTGTTCACAGGCAAACCCATCTTGAACAAGTCTTCTCCGCTGGTGTGCACTCACGTTGCCGAGGGCCACAGCAAAGCAGTGCTGTCTCTGGCAGTCACGGACGACGTCCTCTTCAGCAGTTCCAAAGGTATTGTTCACTGCCAATGCATGCGGTTGCCTGCAGGTACCTTGCTTTGTATACCCTGCGTCCTCTCGCTCACTGTACAACAAGGTCTAGTTGGTTGAATCCTCCATCATGCCAACACACGCCTACACATACTTGCTCGACTTCCTAATGAAATCAACCTCATCACTCGCTAAATCACCCACACACAGAGCTAGCAATAAAAAAGGACTCGTCAATTTCCCTTTGAGGCTGGCTTCTGTGCCGCACTAAAATCTTGAGGTCATCAAATAGCGGAGAACATGTATCACGCGCTAGCAGGCCGGACATTAATGCGCCTCTGTCCAATGTTGCCAGAGGGCGAGGGGATCCACAACTGGTATGCCTGGGTCACTCTTTCCCAGATGACAAACACCAAACCACCTTTTTTGTTTATTATTTGGTCTTGATTGATGATTATACAGTGAAAGCTCGTTAATTCAAACTTGAATACAGTAAAACCTCGTTATAACAAAGTTGAAGGAGCGGTCGTAGTTATTTCGTTATAACCATTAGTTTGTTACAGCCAATGTCCATTTCTCCATACTATTAGCAAGCAAGGGGAATTATGATTGCTTTGTTATATCCATTAGTTTGTTATATCCCATTTTGTTATAACGAGGTTTTACTGTAATTCGAATTTATGAACAATTTGACCTGGACAACTTGGTCCGGCCCATAGGCGTCTATGTATAAAAAAGCCCGTTAATTGGAAAGCGAGTAGGTTCCGCCACGGATGATTTGAACTAGGCGCCACCGCGCCGGCGGCTTTGCACCTGGCACACGACCAGAGAAACGCTGCCCACACAAGAGGCTGCGTCGCAAGCGTTGCCTTCGAAACGGCGAGAGAAGGCAAAATGGGGACAACTCTAACCGGCGCGGAGGCGGCCAGAGGGCGGCGGCAGCTTCCTCTCCGTTCTACGTACACGTGACCTCCAAGACTCCCTGCCTGCGCCCATCTCGGAGGCTTTGAAAATCTCCGGTGCGCACACACAATTGGCCCTCTCCTCTCTTACATTGCCTACACACATCTGTCTTGGCAGTCTCCGTCGGGTGTGCTCGTTTGTTTTCAGCTTTGGGCTCGTAACACACAAAGAAGCGATTCTTTGTGGTGTTGTTCAGTCTCGGCTAAACTTTGTTTCGGCAGACATGGGTGGTGTGGCGCCGGACCCAGAGCTGCGACTTGAAGATGGCCTGTGCCCGCGGCAAATACCATGCCCTGCAAGAGAAGAGGGATTTCCTGCGGGAAGTGGATGCCGGACTCTAGTCAAAGCAAGGAATTGTGAAGAAGCGTGCAATACCGAAAAGCACGCTATCTACTTCCATAAAGAATAAGAGGGCTACTGAAGACGCCTTGGTGGCAGAAGTTGCCAACAAAAGGAAGAGGATGCGGCCCGCAAAGTATCCCGACCTCGAGAAAGTGCTTCTGCTTTGGATTAAGGCCATGCGTGCACAGGATATTCCTACTGGCGAGGCAGCGGACTTCGCCCAGCTGCTGGGTTACGACGACTTTGCTGCTTCAGATGGGAGGCTGCACCGTTTCCGCGAGCATTACGACCGTGTTTTCCGTGCTGTGTCGGGAGAAGGAAAGGCCGTTACTTCACTTTCGTTTGTTCAAACTTTCAACAATTCAAACTGAGGCGGCTTTCCCTTGCGGTTCTAATTAACGAGCTTTTACTGTAGATGACTGACATTATGAACGGTTGTTCTGGACAACACAGGCGTCCATATTAAGGAGACATAACTCTAATAGCAAACGAAAATGTCAGTTTCTGTGGCATGAAACCACAATAATTTCTGATACAAGTTACGTAGAAGCAAACCCAGTGTAAAATAAATATGCAGTCCCGCTGGAGTGTTCCTACTTTTTCACCTCACCAATATATGTCTAGGAAGGCATTCCTTTTAGCTCTAATCGCTCATTCTCATGGAGGTTTGTGAGATTTCCAGCCGGAAGGTATATTTATGATAATGGAGTAAGACAATAAAGCAAATTTAGGTGACTCAGATCTTGTCCAGCAAAACTTGCGTTGTTTATTACCCTAGAGAGTGGTCAGTTCAGTTTTTAACCAGCTGGCGTGTATCCTTGCAGTAACAGCAAAACTTTCCGTCTCAGAGTCCGAGTAGTTTGAATTGTAGCTGCTAAAGGTCCTGGTTTTACCGGTTGGGCTGCAAGACACGGTCTCAAGAAGAGACTGCCTGAAGGCCACTAGCGGGTCAACAGCTTGTCTGAATGTAGTGGATGCTCAGAGGCTCCGTCAAAATCACGTGAGGAGAAACCTGCTCATGCAGTGGACAACACTGTTCCTTGCTACATGAGGAAACACATCTGAGAGACAGAAGAACCACCTTTTATGCCAGAGTAGACGTCGGTGATGTGATTGCTGCGCCAATTGCGCCAAACTGCGCCAAGGGGCTAACTCTGCTACAGCCTGCTACATTTTACCAAAATATAGGTAATCTGCGGCAAGCCTGCGCCAAAAATATAATTTTTGTCGTCTTTCAGAACTGAAACTAAACTGGGCACCGTAATTGAGCACGTTTGTGCTAGGTGGCGCAAGCGGCTGCTCGACAGAAAGTACCCTGCATCAATGGTTCATCCGGTCTTGCATGGTTTTCCCCGCTGGCTCGCGTTTCACACTCTCTCGTGGGTCTCGTCTCGTGTCTTTTTTTAAAATATTTTCAACGATAGACGCGGGTGTGCACGGGCGCTTCGACGCTAGCGTGCACACCACCAGCTAAGCCGTCATGCTGTGAAACGAAACCACGTTTTTGCGCGGTGGGAGTTACTTTGTGACTTTGTGAGCTGAAGCTCTCGCTCCTGACAGCAACGGCCGTGGGAAAATTATTTCGTCCCTGCCTTCCAGTCACCGTGGCCGCACGACGTCGGGTGTTGCCGTCCCCACAACGCTGTAGATATGCCGCTTTCTAAGATGAATCTAAGTACCGCTGCATGTTCATCAACATTCCTGTTACTACAAAAATCCCTTTTTAACTCAAGAACTGCGGTGTCGAAGTATTGATTACCTAGGTTTCTCTCGGTGGGCTTTCTTTGGAGAGGGACCCCGGTACGTGAAAAATCTGCCGTGAAAGAAAGTTGGTGAAGAGAAGCGAGCTAAAGCAAAGAAGGCATTTTCTGCACGCTGAACCTGCGCAGTGCGCTTGTCTTCAATTCAGTTGTTGCACAAAGTGCTCAAAGAACTTTCTGACCCTGGCTCACGATGCCTGGCATCAATGCAGTCAGGTGCTTTTTTTTTTTTTATGTTTAGCTTGTACTTTGTTTGCCGGCCTGGCAAGCAGGCGCTGCTGCACTGTTTTTTGCCGTATGCTCGACAGTTGCATTTTTCGCACAATTTTAGTAATCGGTTGGTGATGGAGTGGAGTGGCATAGTTTCGGTTTCGATCGAACAGCCGTTGTCTCCGCTTGCGCGACGAGGCACGCACAATTGCAAGCCTGCTGAAGTTGCCCTCACGTGCATGTGAACATGATTGCCCAACAGAGGTACCAGCCGAGACACTTTCAATTCATTGTTTCACGTTTGCTTATTTTTGATGAAAATCTGGCACGTCGGGAATCAGTAAAATGGTGGCAAGCGGTTTTTTGAAATCGCTCGGCGACGCCTACAGCACTGTACACTTGTGGGATGTCTTGGCAGTAAAAACACAAGCAGCGAGTTCTGTCACAACATTTCCCATCAGAACACAGCACAACACAAAGTGCCCTTCGTTTGTCCAGCACTTGAAACAAGTATTTTTATTTTTGTAAGAATATCCGCTCCAAAAGCCCCTTTTGCTGCTCCGAAACACTGTCTTGGCTGCTCTGAAGGCCACTTTTGCTGCTCCAAAAGACTGTTTTGGCTGCTCCGAAAGGTGCTCCAAAATGGCATAGGCCGATCGCATCTCTTGGATTTTATAAATTTATTTATTTGACCATACTGTCAGTCCCTTACAGGACCAAGATAGGAGTGGCATACAGGGATCCACTCAATGGTTATCACAGTCTGCGCTGCCCTGCACCGACACAAGCACGAGGGAAGCGCAATAAAAGTGACAATAGGAAAACAGCAAAGAGCCTGAGGCGCCGCTGAGCGTTAAGGAACCTGGAACCAAAAACGTGCCTATATTAGAAACAGTTTCCCAGAGCGCTTACTAAATTTTCTCACCTCTTTGTGTGAACCTAGCTTCTGCACTTCCAGCTGTTGTTGCTTCTTTGCGAAATACTCGGTTGTCTTGTCCTTGTATGCCGGGTGTTTTGCGGAGAGGTGACGCGAAAGCTTCGCTAGGTTCATGGAGCTATTGGCCAAAACCTGGGCACAAACAACACACTGAGGATTTCCTCCAGTTTGCGTAAATCCACACTTGAGGTAACTGTTGCAGTATGCTCTCGGTTTCGCTTTCCTGCTCATGGTGCAGCGGTGCCGCTCAACGTCTAGAGGAGCGTGATCAAAGTGAAACTGAATTAAACCGCCTACACTGGTGACGCGCCTGCTAGGAGCCGTCTCTCTTGTCGTCTGCTCTATGCGGGAGAGGAGGTGGCTGCACACGTTCTAGGTGGCTTCGGGTGCGGCGAGTTGCGGTACGCTACGGCAGCTACGGAGGGCGTGCGCTCGCTTGCGCCATCTACCCAAGATCGACAAACAGCAAGCCTAGCTCTCCTAAAGCTTTCTTAGAACGTCTTGTAGCGCAGACACAAAATAGAGGGGCGGATGACCGTGGCGGACCCGCACCACCATTTCTTGCCCATGTTAAGAGAGGGCGCCGTACGTTCTCGGGAGAGCTCAAGGAGGTGGGAGAGCTAGACTTGAGTCGATTTATTGATGGCGGGTGCGGCGCTAGCCCCGTGCCTTGCCGCCCGCTGAGTCCTGCATACTTCGATGAATAGTAAATTTTGTTTTGAGCTGAAAGCCCCGCGTCGCGTCTGCATGTGCGTGTAGGAGGGGGGGACTGACTTGGGTGCTCGCAGAACCCAAGCGAGCACTCCGCAG